TTGCCACTATTTAGTGGGCTTAAACACACATTTGATTGAATTGTTCCAATTTCAAATAACCCACCTTCACCCACAGGCATTCAGAGTTTATATCACATAAGCATATAGCCTCATATGTAAGCATGCTATTCATGGCAGTCACTCACACGCATGCAAGGATGCTAAAGCATTAAAACTTACGAGTACTCCAAGCCAAAACAAAAGCTAATTTAGAAATCATGCATTGATCCCAATTATACGGAAATGCCCTAATGCAACACATGCAAAAATGCAAACTATAGCAACTGGCTATTTCTAAACATGGCATATGAAATGTACAGCTAACATGTATTCACTTGGAATTGAAAATACAATGCAGTTAGTTGATGCGCCGAGCCCGGTGCGTAGCAAAACATGAATGAATGAAAAACATGCTTATCATACTGTATGCTAATTGAAACATGCCTAATCTAACCATCATAAGCGGGTAAATAAAAAGGGAGAAATGACGTGGGGTTTAGAAGTACATACATTAGCACACTTATTACAACATTGCCCTTCGCGCAGAGGGTCCGAATAATAATATACAAGTCCCAATAATATAAGTTCCAAATAATAATTACAGTCCAAAATTATGTACAAAAACCTAATTAATACAAATAATTAGGAAAGGCAATAAAATGGCATGCAAGCCCAGGGACTGCCTTCTCTTTTCCGGATGAATTGAAATACATGCATTCCGAGTTGCCTTTGCCGGAAATCCATTCGTGAAGCCCCAATTTAGCCTCTGTTTGCAAATAAGGTTTTGGAAAGCGTGAGTGCGCCAAGCCCCGGAAGACTGCTGATTCTTGATTTGCTGCAACAGAGAGCAGGAAAGGGGCATGGCAATGTATTTTCACAAATGTATGCATGCTTCGATCCTCGTGCCACCAATCACGCATCTCGATGTATGATGGCCGAGGAGTCAAATTGCACAACTCAGTATGAAATGAATGCACATATAAACACAACAAAACCTAAACTCCATTATGGATAATCCAGAGTGTCGGTGATTGGGAATTGAGACACGTTCCGTCACTCGAAGTACGAAACGTCCCTCGTTTCCCTGCTCGGGCTAACTCCTATCCCAAGCACAATGCAATATTCATGACATGCATGAAATGCAACTAAGATACAACCTAACATACACAATGCTATGAGATGGCATACACAATGCACGATGTAACAAGGCATACGTAATGCTCTAACATACAACCTAGCATACACAATGCTATGAAATGGAATGGCATACACGATGCACAATGGACTTACACCAACACGAGTGGACCTCAGCCACACTCACATAAGTAGCCATGAGATGAAAATGAGACAGCTCAAAATGCGTGCCCACGTGCACGCAAACCGAGGACCGACCCTAAGGCACCAAATGCCACTCTAACAAGACATGCAAGGCATGGAATATGGCATACTAGCATGCAAATTTCAGTACCGAAATATGATGCAAAACAGCCCCGAAACATGGCAATATGGTACCCGATGCATGGAATGAGACCCGAAACATGAAATTAGGTACATGGAATGACCTATGGCTATGCAAAGCATGCATTATTTGAACATGAAGTGTGAATACAGAATTAAGACAGTCCCAAAATAAGCATATTTATAGTTTTAATCAAGGCCAAACAATGGACACAAATAGGACTAAGCTAGCATGCAAAAATGGCCCCGTAAGAGAGGTAATGAAGCAAGTAGCAGCTGCTGACCCTAAATGGCCAAGAGCCCTTCAACAAAGTTTAATAGGGGCTCAAAATGAATCACTTTATAGTTTACGACAAGCCACGGATCTAAACACAAACAGGCCTAAAACAATGTGCAAGAAATGGGCCAAAAGGGAGACAAAGAAGCAAGTGATGGTTTCTGGCGTCAAACATAGGAGGGACCTTCAACAAAGTTGAAGAGGGGCCCAAAACATGTTATTTTACAGTTTATGATCAAACCCAAAACAGTGCACATGCAAGCTTAAAATACTATGCAAAATAAGGCCTAAAAAGAGGTTTAAACACAAAGAGCCAAAAGGGAGCTTCAAAAAGCAAAGGTCCCTTGATAAAACATGAAGAGAGGGTCAAAATAAGGCTATTTTCAGTTCAGACCAAAGCCTTAAAATACAAGTACAAGGGGCTAACAAAACATGCAAAAATGAGGCCAAAAGAGGGATAAAGAGGCAAGTGACAAAAGGAAGCCTCAAACAGTGAAGATCCCTTCAATAATGTTGAAGAAGGGCTCAAAATAAGTCACTTTACAGTTTATAACCAAGCTCAAAACAGTTTACAAGTAGGCCAAAAATACTATGCAAGAAAGAGGCATACAAGAGAGGTAAAGAAGCAAGTGTTAAAAGGAGACCTCAAAAAGGGAGAGGCCCTTAAACAAACATGAAAAGGAGCTCAAAATAATGCTATTTTCAGTTAGGGTTGGAGCCCAAAATGGAAGCAAGTATAGCCTAGATTGTATGCAAAAATAGGGCCAAAAAGAGGAGAAGGAGACTTACCCTTGAAGACCAAGTCTTTGACAACTCTTAGACCAAGTTTGGGGGCTCCTTAGCTCTGGAAAACAGCTCCAAATGGCTGGAATGGATGGTGGTGGTGTGGTGCTAGGTGGTGGTGTAGAAATGGTGTAGGGTTTGGAAGGTTTTGGTGCTTGGAAGAGAAGGAGAGGGAGGATCAATGCAAGGGCCTTGAGCCAAATTTTCTAACCCTCTGAAATGCAGCTGGAGGGCCTGATATATAGGCAAAAGGAGTGGAGAAAAGGTGGGAAAAATGGGGGGAAAATTGATTTCAAATTTCCTCCCAAAAGTTGGCCCTCTGGATACATAATCTGGGGGGAAACAAAATACATATTTGTAATGTACCAGTGGAGGGGATCATGGCCGGCCTGTTATTGGAGTTGCAGGTGGCCGACCGGCCCTTCCCATGGCGGCCAAGGGTCAAAAGGGTCAAGAGGTATTAGTGGCCGGCCACCCCAGATTGGTGGCCTCCCATGTGTGTACAACACAACCATGTGGTCAAAAACTAGAGGAAGTGAACCAGGAGAGAGAAAAGGCCACTTTTAGGAGGGGTTCAAAAGGGTCACACAGAATTACTGGCCGGCCATGTGATATTGGTGGCCTCCCAGGTGTGTACAACACAAATATGTGGTTTGGGGCAAGAAAAAAGTGGGCCTTCGGAGTGGTCAACATGCTTTCGAGTGAGGAAAAACGAGCGAACGGAGGGCGATGGAGGAAAATAAAACTGCCAGTTGTCAGAACACAATTTGCTGGCCTGCCCAGCCCTTCTAGAGCTTCCTAACAATGAAACAGAGGTCCCTGCCAAAAATGAACCCAAACCGATGCAAAATGAAGGTTCGGGGGCCGAAACGCGCAGCCCAAGGCCCCGAAAACTGACTGTTAGGCACCGGAAGTGGTGTTTGACCACGAAGTTGGTCTCTCGAGCCACAGTGTCCCTCAAAAGGGAGCAAATAAGATGCATGCCAAAAATCGGAGCAAACGGAGGTGGTTAAGCGGTCCCGAACCGAGGCACATGGCCATCGGCTCCGATAAATCGGAAACCGGACTCCAAACGTGCAACATGGCCTACGACCACGAAACGTAGCCTACGGCCACTAAGAGATGATCTATGAGACCTCTCCCTCCCTTCGGGAAGAGAAATCAGAGAAAACAGAGTCTGGTTCACAAACCGAGGCAAAGCATGAAAGAGTTCGGAAGTCCGGAGGCAAGGCTCGCAGCCGAGACTCTGAAACCTCTGAACGAGCACGATATGCAACATCACCAAGCACTCAATCGGTGATGTCTGAGTCTTAAGGTCGGTAAAAAATGGGGTGTCTACACCATGCTGATCAGAGAGGCAACTAGCTCAAAGAGGCTCTCTATATAGTCCATAGGTTCTTGCAACTGCATTTGACCGATCAATATTTGGAATAAACATATCTGAAATAGAAAATGTAGGGTGCAAATTGTAAAGTATGGTCCATACCTAAGGCGCGCCTCGAGCTTTGACATACTCGTGCCCTGCCTTTGCCGACTCGATCGAAATCTGGTAGGTAGTCCTAGTCGGCTACCAACATGTGAGCACAGTGGGAATCTCCGGCCAACCGGTCATCTGCCCAACAGGAGGGGTCTCTCTAGTATGGGCCCTGGTCGCCCGAGTCACCTCACTCGCCATAAGAGCTCCTGCTCCCTTGCCTGTGCGAACGCCCGTCAGAGGGGGCATAAGATAAGTCTAGATGAATGCCACGTAGTCGCCTTTTGCTCTGAAGAAGTCAGCATCTAGGCCCACCATGAACTGGATGATCGCATCAACCGGTAGGCTATCTGCTGTCCTTATGGACGTTAGGGGTGGTATGGGAATGACCAGATTAGGCGAGCCTACCGTCTGGTGTACAAACCGCTTGCCTAGAAGCCAGGCCCGGCAGACTAGGCCCTCTAACAAAATCCGAAAGCGAGATGTGGCCCAGGCCCCAGTGTACTAGTCTCTCACACTAGCCGACATCATCAGCCAAGGCTGCCATGTGATCTGTAAATAGAGAACGTATACATTGTTAGTTGCCATCAGTTGTCGAAGTATGAATCAAAGCAGTAGTAAAACAAAAATGACTGTGAGTTTCAGGTTACCTCGTTAGCGGCCACTGTATCGAAATAACGGCCGAAGAAGGCAAAGGTCGTGTCGTTATAGTTTCGATGCCAATACCGGCCGTCATACCGTCGTGAATACAGTACCATGAGGTGAATCTCCTCCAAAGGCTTTAGAGAGGGCATTGGTGTTAATGCATGAACATGTATAGAAAGTGCAAAGCAGAATGCACAATGCATGAACAGATATGAAACAGGAAGTGCAAAGCAAAAGCACAATGTATGAACAGACACAAAAAGTGCAAAACGGAAAGCACAAGCTTTGAACAGATATTGAACAGAAAGTACAAAGTCAAAAAGGTGTGGTGCATACCACCTAGTCTCTCCAATAACCTCTAACTCACTCTCCCATCATGTGGAAAGTGGAGTTCATGTAACCGTAGAGGCCAACTCCGCCCCAATCATAAAATCGCCCCCGAGGTAGTGTCACCAGGGTGCTCAACAGATATAAACCTACGGTGTTCCACCTGTTCAAAAACAAGGTGGTACCGAGGAGAAGCATCAAGAAGCCCCAGACGTACTGCTCCATTTCCTCTGGTGTCTTAGGCTCGCTCCCACGGAACTGCTCAGTAAACCAACTGTATCTCACTATGGCCGATCGGTACAGAGATGGGTGTGCTCCCAACAGGTGGATCCAAGCAACCTCCCACTCGCCTATATCCGTGTCAACGGGGATCAGATCACCTCTTACTCCTAAGACTGTGAGCATGGCAAAATCGTAGGGAGTCATCGTCATCTCCCCAGTGGAAGAGAGGTGGAAAAAGTTGGTGGTGTCCCACCACCTCTCCACCAACGCCCCAAGAAGAGTCTGGCTCGCTATGTGCCGTGAGAGATCGTAGCAGAATAGGCTGAAGCCAGCCTTGTCAATAATGTCGCGGACCCCGGTGGGGAGCTCATCATGCCAGTCTCTCGCCGTCATCGCTCCATATCCCCTATAAGAGCGGGAGTCTCCCTGTGGCAGAGAAAAGGCGAATCAGGCAGTGATAAAAGAGCATTTAGATAAAAGGAAGTGCAAGAAATGCAGTTAAAGGAAAGGCAGGAAAAAAATGCATGAAAATAGAGTTCATACCTCGGTAGCGCTGGAAGAAAAGTAGAAGTCCGGCTCCCTCAGTAGAAGGTCCTCTAACATGCCACAAGTGAAGTCACTGAAACGTCTGATGCCTCTGGGCGGTAGTATATATATGCGAGGATGATACGCCATCGGATCAAAGGGGCGCACCCTCAGTGGTAATGGGTTTGGCTCGAGCTCTGGAACGAACTTCGCCTTAAGATCAGCGGCAATGTCCTCTGTCGCCTCACCAGCCCCGGCAACCACTGGCTCCTCAACCTCGGCATGGGGTGATAATGAAGGTGGAACCTCAGGAGAGCCTCATCATGAGGAATCTCATTCGCCATCTGGAAAGTGAGTGAAAATGGGTGAAAATTGAAGAAAAATAAAGAAATGAGGGTAAACTTTGAAAAAGTCAACCCTAGGAGAGAGAAAATGGTAGAAAAATTCAAAACCCAGGAAAGTTCACGAAACCCAATAGAAACTTAAGGAGAACAAGCCTAAAGTGGTGAAAGTGCAGAAAAAGCGACGAAATCAAAATCTGATCGGTTCAAAGTGTAGAGAATCAAGAGGGTTTTAAGAAAAAAGTTTGCGCAGGGCATTGGAAAACGCGTACAAAGCACAACTTTAGAGTGAGAATACACCTAGACAGAGAGGGAGAGTATTTTCGAAGGTATGGGTGTGTGCAAAGTGTGGAGATGTATACTTAAAGACTCGAGGCTGAAAATACTTTTCTGCCCTAATCCATGCATGGGTGGCCGGTAGGCCACTATTGGTGGCTAGCAGGCCACATTTTTTGCCGACAAGCCCAAATGGTGGCCCGTAGGTGGCCGGCTGTCTTTCCTTATGGCCGGCAAGTGGTCTATAGTCCTCACTTGTGTCCTGGTGTTGTTTTGTGTTTTTGTTTCTCGAGAAATGTACGAGAGGTTCACTGTTGGATCCAGATTGATTCTAAGGGATCTCGAAACTGCGTTCCGATGTATGAATGTGCCCCACTTGCCAATATGAATGAGGTATATCCTTGTTGAACATGTAGCAAAGTCTCCGAGAGGTAAATCGTAGGTTGTCATTGAATATCGCTTTTGCTCATTCTGTCAAATCACATATTTGCTCACATGCACTTATGTTGCACGCGTGTCCTGCATCATTCATGATTCGTGCATAGAACATGCTTTCAATTTTGAATAGAATATGCTTTTATGTTATGCATAGAGTTTTCTTTCAATTTTGCATAGAATATACTTTTGTTTCATGCATAGAACATGCTTTCAATTAAGATCATACGTCGGTTGTTTATCTTGCATGGAATATGCATTGTCACTATATTGATTTGTAATATTGTTCGCTTTGTAAATCTGTCGCACTTGTTCACTTTGTGCTTCTATCACACTTGCTCCCTTTGTGCATCTATCGCACACGCTCATTTCTCTTTGCATCTTTTGTTTGTATCTCAGGACGCGTGAAGTACGGCCTTGGCCGTGTTTTATCTTGGGATGCGTGAAACCCGAGCCTGAGCAATTTTTCTTGTATTTTAGGACACTTGAAGCGCGGCTGTGTAGACACCCCATTTTGGACTGTTCTCAAGACGTGGACGTCAGCGTTTGAACACCCGATGATTGTGCTTGCTCGTATTCATTTTGAGTCCCTGAATGTCTCGGCCTAGCACCTTGCCTTGGAGCCTCTAATCTTGTCTGTTTTGTTCTTGGTTGTGGACCAAGAGCTTGTTGCTTCGATTTTGGAGGAGAGGGTGGCCTGTCAGCCATCCCCATAGCCTACCAGCCATGACTTGTGCCTGTCGGCCACCAGTGGTGGCCGGTCGGCTATGTTGATGGCCGGTCGGCCACTGATGATGACCGATGGCCATTTTTCTCCTTTTTGAGATATTTATTTTCCAGTTGTGCCAACTATTGTTCACTGATGTTCATCTCTATACACGTGTATGGAGGGATGAATACAAGCTTTAAGTTTGATTTTCTATATATAGGGGGGTCTCTCCCCCATTTTGAAGGGTTAGACAATTTTGCTCTCTCTCTCTCTCTCTCTCCTCTTGTTTTGTGCTTGATAGTTGATTTTCTCTACACTTATGCACAAAGACCCTTAACCAAACATCCTCATCTTGGAGTTGAGGTTCTTTAAGGCTTAGTTTGATCTCCTAAGGATGGTTTTAACCCAGAAGTGTGATTGTTTTATGTTGTGCTTCAAGAGGTATAGGACTTGCCTTGTAGGCTTTAGTTTGATTACTTGTTTGGCCATCTTTTTATACTGTTTTTGGCTTAGTTTTCAACTACCAAAAACTCTAACTTTTGAAGCTTAATATGGTAGTTTGAAGTCATTTTGTGCTAAGGGGTTGTCCACCCTTCTTATTGCTTAATTGTGAAGCTTTTTGCACCATCTTTTAGCATATTAAAATCAAACTTTTTGAGCCTTTAAACCACTGAAATTCAGAGTTATTTTAGTGGTGGAAAGCATGTTTTGAAGTCCAAAAATAGAGGGGTTGGCCTCTCTTCCTTGTGCCTCACTTGCATGCCTAGTTAACATCCTATGGTAGCATGTTTTTGTGGTTTAACTTAGCTTAATTCAAGCATGTTTTTAGCTACTGTTTTGACTGGTTTTAGCTTTGTTTTGAGCTGTCTTGGTCATATGAGCCTCGTTTTGCATAGTTGTAGTGCAAATAGCTTCATTAGCTAGGCATTCTAGCCTTTCAAACTTGATTTGCTTGAGATGGTTACACGTTGAAGTGTTTTTTTACATGTAATTTCAGTGTTTATAGCTCTGTCACAAGCTCATTTGCTTCACTCTTTCATTGCTTTTTTTTTAGAGTTGCTCTTGAGTCTTGTTTGCAAGCTAACATGTGAGCATGTTTTTCTAACCTTTTGTGCCTTAATCTCAGCAAGTTTTAGCCACTGTTTTGGCATATTTTAACTCTGTTTTGAGTTGGTTTGGTCAATTGAGGCTTGTATTGCATGGCTATAGTGTAATGGTCATCATTAGCATAAGAAGTTAGGCTCTTAAACATGACTTGCATGTGTTGCTTGCACGATTTAGTGTCATTTTGCATGCCATGTCAGCACTGAAATATTTGCAACCTCCCTCTATTCTTCACTCTTTACTTTGTTTTGAAAGTGGCTTTGAGCCTCTTGTTGGCTTGAGTGTGGAATTGAGACCTTCAAGCTAATGGTTTAATTCGTTCGGGGAGTTCATTACCAACAGCATGGGGCCTCTTTCATGCTCAAGGTACTTGTGGCTTAAGCCCTCTTTCCATTAGAGGACTCTCATCTTTTGGACTTAACCAGTTAAAGAATGGATTGGTAATTAAAATGAGTAAATAAAACATGACAAGTAAAACTTGAGCAAGTTAAGCATGTTGTGTTGTGTTGCATTGTATGTGTTTGGATCGGATATTAATCCGAACATGAGAAAAATGGGACGTTTCATACTCAAAGTGATGAAACGTGCTGCTTTTCTTAGTCACCGTCACCCTTGATCATGCATGATAGGGTGGTGGTTTTGTTGAGTCTTGTTTTGCACTCATTAAGCTTGTACAAGCTTGGTTCTTTGGCCATCATGCATCAAAATGCTTGGTTGATGGCTTGAGAGCCAAGAGCTATACTTCTTTGAGCTTGCGTAATGATAAGGAGGGCAATAGTACATACATTCCTTGAAAATACATTGCTTTGCCTCTGTTTTCTCTCTGTTACAGCAAAAGGAGAAGTCCAGGAATGTGGTGGCCGACAGCCACTTGGAGTGGTTGACCGGCCAGTTGAGGTAGCTGACAGCCACTTAGAGTGGCTGATTGGCCAGTTTAGGTAGCCGACAGCCACTTTTTGCAGCCGACCGGCCACCAGTCAATTTTTGCACAAATGTGCTCTTGAGTTGGAGCGGTGGCATTCTGGGAGTTGGCACAATTTTTAGTGATCAAAACAGGTGCAAACAGAGGCATCCGATGGCAAGGCAATGGCATTTTCAGGCGGAGCAACCGAGCATGCATGCGTCCCTCGCCCTTGAGGCCATTTAGTCACTTTTGTTAGCTTAGAATAAGTTAGCTAATTCATTAATTCGTATTATAATTAATTAGTTTAATTCAGTTTATAATAATTAGTTAACTTGAATAGTTAATTAGTTTCGGTTTGTAATAGTGAGCTTAATTAGCGTAGCTAGCTAGCTTATTCATTCGGACCCTCCTTCGCGAGGGCGTAATGTTGTAATAAGCGTGTGTGTGTGTGTATGTCTTCCAACCCCACGTCTTTCTCCCTTTTATTTAACCGCTTTCGCTTCGCGCCCCCTTTCGAATAGCTCTAATTGGTCCTACAGTTTTGACTCCTATCATGGTTCTGAATCTAATCTCACAAAGTGCAATGTGAGACTGATAAACACCAAAGAGTCCAATCCAACAAATCATTTTGGAAAATCAGATTTAGAATCAAATAATGCCAAAATTGGACTGCTTTGCTAGATTATAGAGTCGCCACCTAAATATTTATTTTTTGAGAATTTAGGAAACCCTGACTCGTGCCAAAGGCCACATGTCCGTCATCACCAAAGTTGCCTTGGCTCGGTAACTTGGGTATGAGAGGGGAAGGTCCTGAAATGAGCACCCCCACTCGTCCAATCAAAGGATCGGCCTCTACTAAGCATGATATGTTGTTTTATAAACCTCATTGTGTTCTTATCCGGTTATTAGCTAACTTTACTCTGTGATGCACACACAATCAAATATAGACTAAGTCACAAGACTTGGAACAAATTCAACTCATGTTTGCTTTCGAAAATGGTTTGAATTTGCCACCCTCAAGTGGGCTGAAACGCGGATTTGCCATCAAACATGATGGGCTTAAAACATGATTTGCCACTTCGTAAAGTGGGCTTAAAACTCACAATCGTCGAATTGTTCCAATTCAAATAACAAAGCCTTCATCCACAGGCATTCATGTAGTTAATCATTTAAGCAAATAGCCTCATGGCAAGCATGCGAAACGTGGCATCATTCACATCTCATGCAATATGCTAAAGCAAAAAAGCTTACCGAGTACTCCAAGCCAAAACAAAAATTAGTTAGAAACAATTCATAATCCTAACTATGTTAATATGCCTAATGCAACACATGCAATAATGCAATTAATAGGCTCGACTACTAATATGGCATATGATACAGT